CTTTGTTAAAGTCTCCTGCTACAATGAGGGCTGCGCCCGGGTCCTTGTTACAATAACTTTAGCTATTCTAACTACTGCTAGCTTGAAGGCCTGCGGTACTTAGCCGATTAATAGAGGTAGGTTGATCATATTTAAGATTGAAGCATTAATTAATGGTAGGACTGATAAAGGTAGGGGTCTAACAGACATGTTGATGGTTTGGAGGAAGGAATTACTGAAGTTAGATCAGAAGTGTCAGGGTTAGTGCTGTGGCAGGCAGGACGAGGACCCAATTGCTGGACTCAGAACACAAGAGGGGTAAACTAAGAGAGGAAACAAAAACCTAACACAGTAAACTAGAACCTGGGAAACTAGAAATGAGGAGACAAATGAACATTAAGACAAAGGAGACTAGATGTGAAACGTAGAATACAGAGGAAGAACAGTAACCTAGGGATTAGAAACTATTAAAGCACAAGCAGAACCATGAACAACAATAAATCAAAGAATATTAATTAAACCTGAAACAGTGTGTGACAAAAAGATCAACTGGAGAAAAAAAAATCTAAATAAATATCAATGGCATTGAAAGCAGCTGTACATTATGTTGTGTCTGTGAGATTGTTATGAGTTTTCTCTAATGCTTAAAATTTTATTTGTGAAGCCATTTCTAGTTAATGTTAAAAGAATGGTTCTCTCAATAGTGTTCTGACTTTTTGTCAGCCTGGCTAGAGTGCTATTGGCCATTTATTTTACATGAATTTCTTTCTTCCTAATTATGTCCCTTCATCTATTTTCTTACCATATTAATTTTACCTTCCTCTGTCTTTTCCTCACTCTTTTATTGGGACTGCTGTTCCTCATCCAGCACTTCTTCATAGCTAATGTTAGCAACAGCTGCCTCTTGTGATGGCAAGGGCTTTATATTAGTTGTTGTTGCTGCTACTGTTGACTATGCAGCTGCTAAAGTTACATGTTTCTGCATCTGTTTCTAGTTTCTTTCTTTCTCTCAGCTTTTCAGCTTTTCAACCACTTCAACACTACAGTCTGTTGTACAAAGTACACAAGTACACCGGGAAGTTAGGTAAGGAGCCAGTTGTGGTAAGAGATTCGATTGGGCAAACCATTGTCAGTATTAAGAATGAAGCCTGTACCCTGTGTAATTATATATTTGGCCAGATTTCTAGAAATAGGAGCTGCTCCATCAAAGTTGGAATGTTTCTGCTTAATTAGACCCAGTTTTCACTAGAAAGTTTCTGAATTAAAAAGCTCACATTTTTTTTCAGTCCTGGTGTGCTGACTGTAAGCTCGTCTGGAATCTGGTGCAACTAGGTTCCAGAAGTGTGACTAGCTGGCTGCATGGATGAATTCATGACTCATGAGGATAATTCACAGTAAATAAAATGTTTTCACAGAGACCATGCCTACCACACAGTTATTGCCAAATCTGTAGTCAGCTACTCTGACATCATGTTTGCATAATCAGCACTGCAGGATAACTATATTTGTTCACCCACACTGTGAGCGCCTGCTCCTTGTTTTAACAGAGCTAGCACTCTTTCATGCTGCAACAGTGGTCATGTTAAAGCTTACAAGGAGTGTCTCAAAGTCAAACAAGTTCATTCTTTCACTTCTTTTGAACACTGGAACTCAGAACTCATTGTAACCATTTAAAATTATAAAACAACTTTTGGATAGAGGGAGAGCAGGTCATCTAACAATTGAAAGGTTGGTAGTTTGATCTCCAGCTAGGGCAACTACTGAACTCTGAGTGTGCGTGAATGTAAGATACCTTGCTTAGACACTTACTATACAAGTACCAGTCCAGCCAAAAAAATAGTTTCTATACAGATTCATAGTCAAAGGAGCTTGCAAAGAAAAGCGTCTGGACTTCTTTAAGTTGCTTGAAGACGTTTCACCTCTCATCCGAGAAGCTTCTTCAGTTCTAAGGTCAAATGGTGGGGAGTCCCAGATTTAAACCTAGTGGGAGTATCCCTCCACAGAGGGACAAAAGGATCCCCTGATGATCCTCTAATCCCCTGAGCCAAGGTGTGAAACTGGGTGTGGGTCCCAATCAGGGTTTTGGGTGTGCTCATTGTGAAACCTGGCCCCACCTTATCATGCGAATTCCTGAGGGCAGAAATGAATATACAGATTCATAAAAAGATCTAAAAACAAAAGATCAACAATACAGACGTGAAGAGGAAAAGAAGACGCTCTTTGTTTTTGTGGTCCAACCGGTTCATGTCTGAGGACATATTCATTCCAGACACACACATGCTCACACACACATCTCTGTACATTTCCTGGTGGAACAGTTAGACGTGGTTACAATGCTTTGTCTCAGCGTTACGTTTCAAACGTTGGTGCTGCGATAACAATCAGCTCAGAGTAATTTAATGCTGATCAGACAAAAGCACGAGGAGTTGAAGTTGAGAAAACATGAACAAACATTCTGCAAGGAGAAACGAGTTAAAGGCTTCATTAACTGGAGTTCAGTTTAATGATGAACAAAGTCATGCTGGTGCGAGACTCCAAGGGTCATTAAAAGGAAAACACACAGGAAGCAGAAGCTCTGAGACCACCACTTTGGTTTCATTATGAACAATAAGTGAATGCTGTTCTGTTCTAACCCTGCATCTCTTTGCTTTTCGTGCTGATTCACCACAGGGTCTAGAATAATTTGGATTTAATTCTGTGCTCTGAATGTAAACAGGGCACTTTTAAAGAAGCTCAAAGTGAGTCTGTGCAGATGCCCAGGTGATCGGAGGAGGGAGCAGAGGAGGAGGAGGAGGAAGAGGAGGAGTATAAAAAGCTGCTGCTCTCTTTCAGTCGAGTTTAAATACACTTAAGTTTCACCTGATCAGAGCTTCCATCAACCTGCGGATTACCGACATGCTGCAGCGGTGAGTTCATTCTTTAGCTACAAATGAGCAGTATGCTGGGTCAAGACTGTCTTCAAACTTTGAACCACTTTAAATGGTTTCACAAAGCTCAAGAGGCACTCCTGCTCTCTGCCTGGAAAAAATCATGAAGCTGATGACTCAGAGTTTTTCAAGAGCTCCTTTTCAACCTTTGATCTGATTCACATTGTACAGTAACAAAGAGAGGTGAAATAATTTCAAAGTAAACTACAGCGTGAAGTCTGGCTCTGTGTGGTGCTGCTGTCTGAGTTCAGGCCGTGTTCAGTTGTTTGCTGGCTGAATAAATCCTGTTTCCTCTCACCGACAGTAACACACTGATCCTTAAAGGTTCTCCGCGCTGGCTCGCTATATGTTGGTAAAGAATAGATGCTTTGTGTGTTTCTGAGGAGGAGACACAAAGGAGCCCAGTCATTTAACCTGAGATTGATCACCTGGCATTCATCACTTCATGTTCTTTAGTTTCTTTCCTGCAGTTGTGTTGAGAGAGAAGTCCTAAAATCATGGCTTTTGATTAGATTTCCTGATAAATCTGTCCCTATTCTGGGTTCAGATTTACGTTTAGCTTTAAATTTCCATTTAGACTATTAGCAAAAACATCGAAAACATGTCAAAACCACAGCAACCGATTCATCGAAAAGCTTTTGTTCTTCATGTTTTTACCAAGCTAGTCAAATTATGCAAACAGGCTGCAGTCAAATCACACTTTGCAACACTTTGGATTGAAAATTTTGTGTGTGTGTGTGTGTGTGTGTTTTGCAGGTCAACTGTGTTGCTGCTCTTTGCGCTTGTTGCTGTTTCACTTGCAGCTCCAGTCCAGAGTAAGCCATGACATCATTATCATCATATCATTGATCAATCACGTTTATCAGTCTGTATTTTCATATGAAATTATAATTATTTAACAATTCAAGTGTTTTTACAGATTTATTTTACAGATTGTATTAACTGTAGTGACCTAATTAAGGGTCATTAGTATTAAAAGCCCGTAGTCATCAGTTGTGATTTTACATGTGGCATGTTTGATATGAAACATGTGGTCAGTGTGTCTGATGTCATCATTTCTTTTCCTTCCAGAGAGAAACTCAGAAGATGGTAAATATAAGGTCGCTTGCATTAGTTAAAGATTTGACCTTTGATCCTGCCGTTTCAAAAACAATTCAATTTAAATCAGTGTTCAGTCTGTGTCCGAGGTGGTGAGTGGTGGCTGGAGTACCACCTACAGACCTCAGAGGTCGATATATGAAAGTGGGTTTTTTTTTTCTGTTCCAGAGAGAATTCTGCCTCTGTTGGAGCACCTGAATGGTAGTGTGCGCACACACACACACACACACACACACACACACACACACACACACACACACACACACACACACACACACAACTCTGACGAGCGACAACACACACACACACACACACAACAAACACACACACACACACACACACACCACAACACACACACACACACAGACAGACACACGCACACACAGTATTTTCATTCTGTTGATTTTGTTTTTAGGTGGCAGGACAAGTGAACCTGTCACAACAGAGCCAGGTAACAATACAACACACACTTTACATTGTTTACACTTCACAATACAGAAACAATAACCCCCCCCCCCCCCCACACACACCCACACACACACACACACACCATATACACACACACACACACACACACACATACATAATTCTTTTTCTGTTTCCTCAGATGTTCATGAAAGTGAAGAGCAAACTGAAGGTAACTTTTCTATTCATCTTTCTGCTTAGCTGTTTGCTTACCTGTCCGTGTGCTCACCTGTCCTTCGCTTCCTCTCTCTCTCACTGTGCTTCAGCTCCTTCAGTTGATGCCACTGGGTCACCAGGTCAGTGGAGGAGGGAGTGTAATTTTTTTTTCATTCTTAATTTAAAATAAATCTTATCCAGATTACAGCTGCGATTCAGTTCATCATTGCATCGCTTAATCCAAACTCTACCATGTTTTTTCTGTAAATTAATTCAGATGTCAGCGATGAAGGTGTTGCCATGACTGACAGCGATGAAGGTGAGATGAAGGTTTTAGGAGCAGGTCTACTGTTTTATGTCCAGACAAAGAAGGAGGAATGAGAATCTGCACATCTGGTCAGACACAAACGCAGCTGACTGATCCTCTGCCTCAGCGTAGAGCTGTGACAGAGGCTTTATATGCCCAATCCTGCACATCACAGTGTGCAAAAGTATTCGGCCCCCTTGAACTTTCCCACATTTTGTCACATTACAGCCACAAACATGAATCAATTTTATTGGAATTCCACGTGAAAGACCAACACAAAGTGGTGCTACACGTGAGAAGTGGAACGAAAATCATACATGATTCCAAACATTTTTTACAAATAAATAACTGCAAAGTGGGGTGTGCGTAATTATTCAGCCCCCTGAGTCAATACTTTGTAGAACCACCTTTTGCTGCAATTACAGCTGCCAGTCTTTTAGGGTATGTCTCTACCAGCTTTGCACATCTAGAGACTGAAATCTTTGCCCATTCTTCTTTGCAAAACAGCTCCAGCTCAGTCAGATTAGATGGACAGCGTTTGTGAACAGCAGTTTTCAGATCTTGCCACAGATTCTCGATTGGATTTAGATCTGGACTTTGACTGGGCCATTCTAACACATGGATATGTTTTGTTTTAAACCATTCCATTGTTGCCCTGGCTTTATGTTTAGGGTCGTTGTCCTGCTGGAAGGTGAACCTCCGCCCCAGTCTCAAGTCTTTTGCAGACTCCAAGAGGTTTTCTTCCAAGATTGCCCTGTATTTGGCTCCATCCATCTTCCCATCAACTCTGACCAGCTTCCCTGTCCCTGCTGAAGAGAAGCACCCCCAGAGCATGATGCTGCCACCACCATATTTGACAGTGGGGATGGTGTGTTCAGAGTGATGTGCAGTGTTAGTTTTCCGCCACACATAGCGTTTTGCATTTTGGCCAAAAAGTTCCATTTTGGTCTCATCTGACCAGAGCACCTTCTTCCACATGTTTGCTGTGTCCCCCACATGGCTTGTGGCAAACTGCAAACGGGACTTCTTATGGTTTTCTGTTAACAATGGCTTTCTTCTTGCCACTCTTCCATAAAGGCCAACTTTGTGCAGTGCACGACTAATAGTTGTCCTATGGACAGATTCCCCCACCTGAGCTGTAGATCTCTGCAGCTCGTCCAGAGTCACCATGGGCCTCTTGGCTGCATTTCTGATCAGCGCTCTCCTTGTTCGGCCTGTGAGTTTAGGTGGACGGCCTTGTCTTGGTAGGTTTACAGTTGTGCCATACTCCTTCCATTTCTGAATGATGGCTTGAACAGTGCTCCGTGGGATGTTCAAGGCTTGGGAAATCTTTTTGTAGCCTAAGCCTGCTTTAAATTTCTCAATAACTTTATCCCTGACCTGTCTGGTGTGTTCTTTGGACTTCATGGTGTTTGCTCCCAATATTGGGTGGCTGTAGCTCAGTTGGTAGAGCAGGTCATCTACTGATTGGAAGGTTGGTGGTTCGATTCCTGGCTTCACCTAGTCTGCATGCCAAATATCCTTGGGCAAGATATTAACCCCAAATTGTTCTCCGATGTATCCATCGGAGTGTGAATGTTACTTAGAAAGCACTTAGAACAATATGCTTGTGTGAATGCACAAGTTGTGTAAAGTGCTTTGAGTGCTCAGAAGAGTAGAAAAGCGCTATATAAGAACAAGTCCATTTACCAATATTCTCTTAGACAACCTCTGAGGCCGTCACAGAGCAGCTGTATTTGTACTGACATTAGATTACACACAGGTGCACTCTATTTAGTCATTAGCACTCATCAGGCAATGTCTATGGGCAACTGACTGCACTCAGACCAAAGGGGGGTGTACACCACTTTGTATTGGTCTTTCACGTGAATTCCAATAAAATTGATCCATGTTTGTGGCTGTAATGTGACAAAATGTGGGAAAGTTCAAGGGGGCCGAATACTTTTGCAAGCCACTGTAAGATGCCAGCAGGCAGTGCATAAATAGAGCGCAGAGGAAGCAGAAGCAGGAAGCAGATGAAGATGGCAATAATCAGATGTAGCTATATGAAATAAAAGCAACATCAGGAAGAAGGAACACAAAAAGTTGGGCTGAACTCTAGAAGATGTGAAGGGTGAAGGTAACTGTGGTCTCAGTGGTAATCAGAGCACTCTGTACAGTGACATCAAAGCTAGGCAAGTGGATCCAGCAGATCCCAGGAACAACATCTGAGATCTCTGTCCAGAAGAGTGCAAACCTAGGTACAGCAACGATACTGTGCAGGACCCTCAAGCTCCAAGGCCTCTGGTAGAGGACTCAAGCTTGAAAGGCTAGACCTCCTGCTGGGATGAAAGGGTTTGTTTTTTTTACCTGAGATTTTTTTTTTTTAACTCATTAATTACTGTGTGTGTGTTCACCTATCTGTCTATGGGACTGCTGTAGCAGGAGGTAGAGCAGATCATCTACTAATGGGAAGGTCAGTGGCTTGGTCCCTGGCTGCTCCAGTCTCTATGCCAAATATCCTTGGCCAAGATACTAATCCCAAGTTGCTCTCCATTCGCATTATGAATGTGTGTGAATGTTCAATACAAAGCACTTAAGGATGAGCATGTTTATGTGAATATGTGAATGTTTTAAGGGGATCCAGGAGAGTAGAAAGGCTCTATACAAGAATCAGTCCATTTAACATTCTGTGTGTTTCAGCTCCTTCAGTTGATGCCACTGAGCCACCAGGTCAGTGAGTGTAATAAAGCTGATTTTAACTTAAAATCCACTTTGAAGTCTGAATTAATCAAATAATTACCCAGATTTTGTTCTCACTCTGTTTCTTTCATGTAAGGTGGTTCAGACATCAGCGATGAAGCTGATGTTACAGCTGACAGCAATGAAGGTGAGAGGAGACAGTCTGCTGTTTCATGCTGAGACACAAAGGATGAAACACACACAAAGCATCACTCAAGTTTTATTTATATCTTGCTCAGGTGACGTTAAAGATTCTCCTGAAGAAACTGAAGGTAATGTTTTCACCTCTCTGTCCAGCTGACTACAACCCAGTAAAGCATGGAAATCTCTTCATATTTGTTGGTGGGTTTGGCTTAAGCATGCAGGAAGGAGCTAGTTTTGAAATGTTGCTTAAAATGTCACAAAGCACAAAGAATCTACTTTGTACACGTCTTTACACATGTTTATCTCCATAGATGCTGCAGAACAGTCAAATGGTAAATATTTTCTTGTCTTTAGTTTTCTTAAACTTTCTTAAACTTGATGGACTGAGACTGAGAGCAAGCAAGCTGAGAGATGAAGGAAGTAAAATTCTTCTAAAAACATACAAGGAAAAACATTTTTACCTTTGTTTCTGATCCTTCAGAGGAGACTGATACACAAGGTTAGGGCGTGGTTTGGTTTTTAAAAATAGCACACTGGAGGAATGAGGAACAAATAGAAAATCAATGTGATAGACACCAAAGCGTTAAAGGGATGATAACAGTCAGCAATAAAGACTGTTCCTCCTAAAAGCAGGACATGCTTCACACGTCTCTGTTTAACCTCCTTTGACTCTTTGTGTTGTTTAATTTCAAACTGTTCCGGAGTAACTACTGTATTGTAATTGCATATGCTACTATTTTTAACTTGTGTAAGATATTTTAACAGAAAAGTAGTTTATCATCATAAGAAAAGCTACTCCAAACTACTCCTGTATTCATTAATTTGGCTGTGAAAGCGCTTAGACATAGAAACGAGAGTTTGTAAGAATGGATGTGAATGGGTGAATAAGTTGTGTTGAGTGTTGGGAAAGTTACTTTTCAAATGTATTCCACTACAGATTACAGAATACATGGCCCAAAATGTAGTTTGTGACATATTCCATTAAGTTACTCAATATCCGTAAAGTATTCTCAACATTATGGATTACTTGATATGTTGTCATGCTTTTTACAACTACATGAATGTACTATTGCTGTGTGATTTATTACTATTACTAAAGGCTACTTGCCACCCAGCTAACATTGTTAGCTGCCATTAGCTGAGGTCAATTCATAGACTGCAAACTGTTAGACTTGATGGATAGCATTAACAGCCTGCTAACTGGAAGTAATCATGTGCAGTTCTGAAAGCAATATCAACTAGATTTTTAAATCCTAATATAAGATGAGTAACAGTAGGGTGGACATTAGGCAAGGCTGCACTTTTTGCAGTGATCTCATATAGAAAAAGAAAATTCTGTATCAGTAATATGTTTTCTTTCTGTCTGCTTTCAGAGCTGCACATGATTATTTGCAGCTAGCAGGTTGTAATGCAGCCTTCAGTAATAGTAATAAATCACACAGCAATAGTACATCAAATATACTACAAGGTAGTTGCAGTATGCTAACATCAGTTTTTAAAAAAGAACTTACTTCCAGATGTTTCTTTAGGTTGAAGTCTTTTGACGCTGAGAGCAGTTTGGTTGTTGGCAAACAGTTTCCCATATGGAAAAGAAATAGTAAAAACTTATATTCTTCAAGGGGTCTTATATCTGTTTTCACTCTTGTATGCTTTTCATACAAGTTTCACACAAGACAGATACAAACTTTATAAGATTTATATACATCTTTTCCATATGGGTTGCATTGAACGCTCAGATTTCACCCATTCCTTTCTTCTTTAAACGTGAAGTGGTGTCGGAATTTCCAAGTAAGAAATGCATTCCTGCCCGTGCACTGCTGGTTCGGTTGTGCTGGCTCCAGGTCCACTGTGTAACTGACACCACCAACATTAACAGGACACGTACATTAGAGCTTCTTATTGCATGTTTTGTTTGGGTTTAGGACAATGCGTGGAATTACCAAAATTAGAGAGGGGATAGCCTAACATATGAAACAGGTAATGACTGCCGTGTAATCCATTTATTTCAACAAAGTAACTGTGTTCTAATTATCACCTATTTAAGCAGTAACTGTAACGGAAAACAGTTACTCATATTTTGTATTTAAAAACCTAAAGCTGGTACATGGATTCCGTTACTCCCCAACAATATGCGTTGACTAAAGCACTTTGAGTGTTCCAGTAGAGTAGAAAAGTGCTGTATAAGAACCACACCTTTTCCCATTTAACAAACTTGAGTAGTGTAGTGCATCTGTAGCTGTTGGAAAGTTGTTAACAAGTAAAATTCTGAAGGGGTCCTGGTCTGTGCCGACTATGTCATTGATATGTCAGCCACAGAAATGTGCATGTCAAGGTTCACTTTACTTCTAAGCCAAATGCCAGTCTCGTCAATTTTAGGAAGTCAGCAATAAAAAGCTCATTTATTAATTTATTAATATGATGATTATTAATATGAGTATATCTGAGCAATTAACAACTCAGAGCTGGCACACATTACCTGGTGGGATGATCATCAGGTCTGTCAATCATTAAGAAATGAGGGAGTGCAGCGTGAAGCAAAACCAGTTCAGCATGTGTCCTCCTTCCAACCTTTGGGTGACGTCCTCAGGAAGTGTGTTAAATGATGAGGAGTGTTACAGCTCTTATTGAAGCAGAATCCATGATTCATAACAAAGTTTTTTTTACTTTCTGTGTAAGCACAGTTGTAGGACAATGAGCTTATTCCTCATGTTCATCACAGACATAATTATTATCTGCAATCCACAGAGACTGCAGAGTCTGTGCCCGAAAACAGCGCCGACACCAGCACGGAGTCTGAGCCAACACCTAATGGTGACAAAGAAGATGAGGGGGAGGCATTGAGTGATGAAGAGCAGGAAGTGAAGGAGAAGGGAGATGAAACGAGTGAAAAAGATACCAGTGAGGAGGAGGAGGGGGGGGAGGTGGTGCCTATCATAGAAGAGGACAGCAAAGAGGAAACTCCAGCTGAAGAAGACAGCCACATGAATAACAGTGAGATTGAAGACATGGTGGAGATAGAGGAGAAAGAGGCTGAGGAGGAAGAAACAGAAGAGGAGAATGAGGAGGAGTTCAAAGAAGTGGAGGAGGAGAAGGAGGAAAAAGAGAACGATAATCAGGATGAGCTAGGGGAGGATAAGCAGGATGAGCTAGAGGAGGAGAAAGAGGAGGAGGATGAGCTAGAGGAGGATAAGGAGGAGGACGAGCCAGAGGAGGAGGAGCTAGAGAAGGAAAATGAAGAGAAAGAGCTAGATGGGGATAAAGAGGAGGATGAGGCAGAAGAGGAGAAGGAAGAGTTAGATAATGAAAAGGAAGAGAAAGAGGAAGATATGGATGAGAAGGAGGAGCAGCGGGAGGAACTGGAGGAAGGAAATGAGGAGGAGCAAGAGATAAAGGAGGAGGAAGAGGAGGAGGAGGATTTCAAGGATGAATCTGAAAATGCAGATACTGAAGAACCTGATGAAATTGATGATGGTCTGGACTCCACTGAAGGTAAAAAATGATGAACTGGTGTGATTTATGTCACAAATTCATGTGGTCCCAAACAACAATCAGAAAATCCCGAGTGAAAAATCAGAGGCTGACAACGAAAACACTCTTGAAGAGTTCAAAGACCAACTTAAAGAATCTGAAGTCATTAATAGACAAAGATTTAAGATGCTAATGAAGGAAAACATTCACACAGATATTAGATGAGTTTCATTTGAACATCTCAACTGGGATTAGAGGAAGCAGACAATAAGACTAAAAGTTCAGATGAAGGGAGCCACAGGTTCTTAATTCTTATTCTTGTTACAGCAACACCTGCTGGTGAACTGGACCAATCAGATGATGCCACCCCCGTCACCAAACAGGGTAAATTTCATATCACATCCGCAGCCAATCACATTTCAGACAGAGTCAAATCTACTTCTTCTCTGAGAAGCACAAAGCGGAAACATGAAGTGTTTTACATCTTGTTGAAGTAAAAATGAACATCTGTGTTTTCTTGTAGCTACCAGTTAGATGCTTCGCCTCTGAGCTGTGGGAGCTCAGCAACTGCAGGTACCATACCATATTGTTTTCACTGATGGAGACAAACCTCTCCATAATCACAGTTTATAGGAAAACACAGTCTTAGTTTTCATCAGTATCCTTTTCCTATATAACATAGGAGTAGATCCTGAAAATGTTCATGCTAAAGGAACCATACATTAACAAACCAGATGGTGACATATCTTGAGAAAAATAAGTGCATTTTCAACAATAATGTGTCATTTCTTTCATGTAGTCAATCTAACGTTATTAAATGCTCATTAGAATCTAAGTGCTAGAGTACGTCTTATACTAGTTATACTAGTACTAAATTTAACTTCCTTTGACTCCAAAAATAATGTGTACAGATTAGAAAAAAACTTTACTTTTCTACTGACATCATTTGGAGACCTCTGACTCGTTTTTCACCAATTCAAGGAACATTTTTTTAATTTTGTTTTCACAAAAGTGTGACTGTTTGCAGCTTCTATAGATGTGATGTTTGCTTTCAGAGTGTTGATGGAGAGGACTATAGAGAAGGTTGGTGTTCGCTGTGTCTTTGTGGATCACCAGCTGCTGAGAGTAGCTATGGTACTGCATGAGGAAGTATGTGTAGGGAAGGATGGTGGTGCAGGACATTTATGAGGACAGAGGGTGACAGGTGAGTTCAAGGTAGGGGTGGGATTACATCAGGTCTGCTCTGAGCCCTTCTTGTTTACTGTGGGGATGGACAGGCTAAGGGATGAGAGCATGGACCTCCCAATGCAATCCTCTACCTGCTCCATTGAGCCTCTTCTCTCCAGGTATGCCTCTGGAGAGAGAAGGAAAGTGAGTAAAAGCAAGGCAAGAATACATGTGAATGAGAGGGAGACATGTAAGGAATACAGACAGTGAAGGCAGATGAGTTTAAATACCTGGGCTTAGTGGTCCAAAGAAAGGTGAAGAAGAGAGTGCAGATAGGGTCGAGACAAGCATCAGGGGCGATTTGTGACAGAGCATAGCAGCAGCAATGAAAGGGAAGGTTTCGAAGATAGTAGTGAGACCTGCTGTGATGGATGGTTTGGAGTTAAAGATATTAGGATGAGCAGGATGGACTAGAAATCAATGAGAGAGTGGATATATCGGATAAAGGATGATGAAGTTGAAGCTATAGGAAGAAAAGAGGAAGACCTCAGAGGAGGTTTGTGGGTGTAGTAAATTGGGGCATGCAGAGGGCTGATGTGACAGAGGAGGATACAGGGATAGGAGGAGAATGAGCACCTGATAGAGAAGGAAAAAGGGAGTGGAGTGGCTGCAGGCCATATGTAATAATTATTACTGTGAAGAGTCCATCCCAGATAGACTTGAATCAGTCACTGAGCAGTGAAGCAGTATGAAGTGAACCGAGGTTTTCTGTGCTGTTTCCTGACAGAGCCAAGCCCACAGCCTCCACAGTGGAATCCAGCTGCCATGACTTCAACAACCTAAACTGCATGAATCTCAACGTTCAGCCAACTGTTGTTTCCTCTCCCCATTTTCTAGCAGTGTCTGTTTTAACCTCTGGCTTCTTTGGTTTTCTCAGATTAAAAAAAAGAAATGTCTTTCACCTGCTGACTGTCTTCTTTTCTGCCATGTGTCTCTCTTTCCAGCTTCTTGTCTGCAGAAATATTAAATCAGCTGCTGAGCTCAGATCTGTTTTGTGTGTCTGATTTCACACATTAACATGTACATAAGTCCCTCTTTAATTTACAGAGAATGTTTTTAAGGACGTGAAAAACCAGTCAGTGGTGTATACAGAGGAACTGCTAATAAAGTTTGAATTGTCGAAACCTCATCGACTCTTTCTTCCAACAGTCAGCATGCTTCCCTGAACCAGTAATGACGTGATTTCAGTCACACATTTTTATCATAAAATGTGACGTTATTGTTCAGAAGCTGGAGCAGAACTGAGATCGGGAAGGACCAACAAGTGTATGCTTTATTCATTATTTAGAAAAATAACTGATGACTGGTGGCTCATGTGGTAGAGCAGGGTGGCCACCGGTGAGAAGGTTGGAGGATCGATCCCTGTCTCCTCTAGCTGTAAGCCACGGGAACCATCAGTAAGGTCTTAGCTTAACTGTTGTTAAATCTTCTGCACAGAAACAGTTTGACATCACCTTTACTGACTTGTAAGGAATTTCCTGTGGCTGGGAATGAGCAGTCAGACCGGAGTTAGCTGCATGGCCACATTCCTCAGGCTGCTCTCTGCAGCACCTCAACACTATTCACACCCTCTACCATACCTTTATATGCTGCTGTTATAGCCCTAAAGTATAATGACTGGTGATTTGTGGCACAAAGTGCTACAAATAAATAAAGCAGACTAAACATGCTGCTGAGGTGGTTGCTGCACATTAGAGCTGTGAGACAATTAAGCTTCCTGTGCCGCAGCCCAACCCATAGCTTGCTCCTGAAAGTCTCGGCTCTTTTCCTCTCAGGTGCAGACTCACAGCTGTTTATTGTTTGAGAATAAAGATTAAATCTTAAAATAGAATTCAAACTTAGTACAGATTTCATATGAGGTCAGCGGGTGCAGTGTAGATGTCCTGTTTAAGTATCAGCTGTTAATGCTTATTTCTATAAGCATTAACAGCTGATACTAAAACAGGACATATAAAACTGTTGTAAAATTGTTTGCTGCCAGTAGAAAAAATATAATCAAAGAACAAATTTGTATTGATCTCTAATTTGACAGCCCCATCCCTTCTTGTAAACATAAAGGTTAAATCCTGGGTTAACTTGATGAGTTGATAACCAGCTTCATGTGACCGTTCATCCCAACCGCTGATGTTAGGCTAAATCTAGAAAACAGAAAGAGACTTTGGCTATGTGGGACCTCGTAGTATGCGAGCTTGCTCACTTCCATCTGTTTCACCTTGTATCATGTTTTGGTTTCACCTGTTTCTGAAGCTGTATTTTGTCTGTCTCACCTGGTAGTCTCTGTTTATTTATTTCCTATTTGCAGCAGTGAGGCCTGTGGATACTGACATTTTAAGACAGCCTGGCGAGGTGTGTGGGAGATGGAAAAGTCAGGCTTCCGAGGGCCACGGTTACTGGTGTGGAACACTGATTCCTGAGATGAAGTTTCTTTGTGATGATGAATGAAAGGTGACCTGCAGGTCCTAAGAGGAGTCGCACATACCAAAGAAGAAGAGAGGGGTAGGGGGGCATTTCCTGCCAGATAAAGGGTGTCTGTTTCAACCTGTGATTGGTTAATGGGGTCAGGACAGAGGCCAACAGCAGGGGGCAACTCAATAGATCCTGCCACACCTGTGTGTGTGTGTGTGTGTGTGTGTGTGTGTGTGTGTGTGTGTGTGTGTGTGTGTGTGTGTGTGTGTAGGTTTTGAGTGTTCACACTGATGATGAGTATGTGTGATGAAGATCAGTTTGACCCGCATGGTGGAGTGCATCGTTGTTGGTCACAGATGGAAACTTTGGCTGTGGAGTTTCTGCGGTCTCACCGGCTTCCTGTTGCTCGATGGTCCCACAGCTCTTAGTTTCAGTCAGACATCAGGATCAAAGGTGCAGGTGAGCTCCAGTCATTCAGAACCAAGCTGGACCTAGACTATAGCTTAAAGTGCCCCTAATTCCTCTTCTGGACCTGATCCCAGAGTCCAGCCCAGCTCCAAGTTGGTTCTAGTTTCAGGATGTCCTACAGCAGATGGATTTAAAGTCTTGTTCTGCCCTGATTCCCACAGACAGCAGGAAGCTCACTTCAAAATAAAAGCACAGAAGGTCATTGGGTTCTGTCACATTGAATCAGACTCAGGAGATAAACTACAGCTTCAGCTCTGTCATGTTGCTGTACCTATGCGATACCTGCTCCGATGTGACTTTTAACCCCTTCTTCTGCATCCAACAGACCAAGGAGTCAGCCACTTTGACAGGCTTCACAGTTCAGAATTAAAACAAAGGTGGAGGGAAAGTTTCGTTTCAACTCCGTCTCTGTATCGGAGGTTCCTCTCACTTTAAATCAGTTAAGTCGGTTCAGTCCACAACCTTTAAACGCCTGCCTGTACACACCAGCTTTCTTTAACTTTAACTTTCCTCTCAGTGTTGTCCTATTTCCTTCTTCATTATTTTGCTTTAATTTATTTTTTTTAACTGTATGCATATTTCTGTGGAACACATTTTCACTGTGATTTGGAAATAAACTTCGTGTGTTTGTGTGTGTGTGTGTGTTTGTGTGTGTGTGTGTGTGTGTGTGTGTATGACAGAGAGAGAGAATGAGAAAACACACAGTAACACAGCAATTGCATTTCCTGCTTGTTTTTGTTGTTGTTTTTTTTATCAGAAACTCTCTGGACCACACAATAATTCTGTGTTCCTTAATAACATATAATAAGTTATAATAAACTCTTCTCTGTCCCCTAGTTAAAGTTGGGTTTGAAAAGTAGATTTCCCTGATTCAAATTGATTTTAGTTTGAATAATGTGATATTGATTCATTAAAGGCTGAATCCATTTTTAAATATAGATATATTTTGCCACAAACACAGGTTAATCTCAGGTTAAAGCTCACAAAACTATTTCAACAACCGTCAAACAGTTAAAACAGATCATTCCCTCTTACTTTGGTATTCTTGCTTCCACCACAATAAAATCACACTTCCTACACAGCTCTTTCTGTACTTCATTTTCCTTCTCTTGTAGTAAAAATCTCAGTTTTCTGCATTATTAGCTTGCTTGTTACGCACCATCTACCGTTGTGTACAGTGCTGTCAGCCTCTGTTTGTTTGTTTTTTCATAAATGATCTGCTGTTCAATCCTGAAGAAATTTAAACTTTTACAAATCTTGCCAAATTGCAAAATGCTTACTATCTCTCTAATAAAACCTCTTTAACTTGGCCCTGCTTCATTTCAGCAGCATCAGGTAATGTTCGTATGCTGATTCGCAGTTTTCTTCCCTTTTTGTTCTACTTTTAAGATGGTTATAAAAAGCCAGGCCAGGAAAATCTCCTTCATGTTTTTCTGTGTTTTATCCTTAGTTACTTTGACACAAAGGCATCTGCTGTGATGCTCACACCTCCCATGAAGTAGGAGGTCAGCTTTGTTTTTATGCATAGATACAAAAATGTGTAAAAATGAAATCATGGATCCAATAGAACCCTAGTCCTAATATGTTCTAGTGTGTTCTAGTGAGTATTGCTTGTGCTGAGCTTGTATCAGTTCAAAGCTGCTTAATGTCACTGCAGACAGGAGAAAAAGCTTGTGAAGACTTATTAAAGTTTATTAAAAGTATTTAAATACCGATACATTTGATTTTCATGATAAATATTAATAGTAGTCACAATAATAATAATATTTTTTCACAGAAACCCCTGTCATAGTCCAATGCCTATGCAGGTGTACCCCACCTTTCACCCTATCACACCTGGGACAAGTAACACCCACCATGAACCTAGAATCCAAAAAATGGATGAACCTTTAAAAACTTTGATACACTGAAGCAAAATATCCCAAAATCGAACGTTTAAATAAAAATTTTGCAGAGTATTAAACAAGTAGATCCTCTGTGGATCAATTTAACTTTTCCCACTGTTTTATTATTAATATATTTATCTTTATTCCCTGAATTTGGGCTGGCAGAGTGTGAACCCAATCAGAGAAACTAAGGCAAGACATGATGTGAGAGGATTGCCGGTGACCTCTACCAAATATCTTCATTGTGCAGACCCAGTTGTTCCATGTTTCAGTGGGAAAGTGTTAGAAGAGCTGCAGATGTCCTGCTGCTTTTATTCAGAATTGTAGTTTTCAGGCTCGAGAAGTCATTTGTCCACAAGGTGGGAGCAGTTTACACTGTTACAGCTTTATGTCACTTCAGGATAAGGCGATGTGATGTCTGTTTCCTGCAACATTTTTGGAATGAGGCTTGTTTGTACTGTCTTGCTGTGTTCATGCACACAAAAAATAAATGAATGGAGTCAGTTTCACAGGAGGAGGAAGAGAAGGTCACAGATGTAGTTCGAAGGAATGTTGGCAGCTTTTCTCTGCAGCTCTGTATCGCTTCAATAAAGCCTCCTTTCTATACATCCTCTGAGCCTGAACACAGAAAGAGACTTCAAGCTGAGAAGATGAAAAAACAAACTGCTCTCTTTCTAAATGAAAGTTGATCTCCAGCATTTCAGACAGAAATCCATCCAGTTCTTATCTCTCAGCAGGTTATTCACATTATGACTATCAGATTCCATCAGAACCAGTATCATCTTGTAAGTTAGTGACTCAGAGTCCAGTTTGGAAAACATGTTGTTTGAAGTTTGAAGTAAAGAGTTTCTGTGGCCGTCGTGCATGAGATTCATTAAGGAAGATGGGTAACTCCTACATCCTCCCTGCAGCGATAGGTTTTCAGTGTTCATATAGTCCACAGTTTCCACCATCCACTGTCTCCTCCGACATGCTCTGTGAACAGGTCTGCAGAGGTCCCTGTGAGGAAGGATCAAAGGTTAGGTCAAAGCTGTGCTCTGCGCCAAGAAGGGAGCCCCTGTAGCCTTATAGTTCATATAGGCTTGTTTGGATGGGAGGAACAAGACCTTATAAGACTTACAGGAAGGAAGTCCCCCCCCCCATTTTTTTTTTTGTCTGCATGGTAGGAACTAGTAATTTCCAGAGACCCTGTTTGTGGAGTAGCTCTGACTTCAGGGTCAGTACTCTTCAACACAAGACTAACTGTTCAGTGGTTATAATGCACTCTTCTGGACATAGGCACACATCAGAAGAACAAATATTATAAAATCCATGTAAACATGGGGAACAGTTATGTCTAAAAATACACAGGGTATTAGAGAATTTTTAGTACGCCTATATGTGACTTAGGAAATGCAATGTGACTTTCAGATCTTGCATTCCTTCATCATCCAACAGTGTTCATCAACACAAAGCTAACTTCTATAGAGAAAAAAATGAAGACACCACTATGTGTGCTCACAACTTTTATGAACAGGATTTCTGGGGATAACTACATGGTGGAGAGTCTCCACAGGAGCTTGTCTCTGCTTTTTTCCTATAGTAATTGGTTGTAGAAAAACCTGATAATGCCCAAATCTAGGTCGGGCATTATTTGCTGCCCCAGTTGAAGGACTTTAAGGAACTTAGGGTCGGGAGACTAACAAGTAGATCATGTGGCAAGTGCAGTGATATGGACAAGGTACTGGTCTGTGATGGTGTAGCCATTGGCTCTGTTTGTCTGGGCTGAGGCTTGGTGGTGACGAGAGGGGCTCAGTCATTCAGATGAAGCTCAGGTCAACATTTCAACAGTTGCCTCAAGGTGCTTTATATTGTAAGGTAGACCCTACTATAACACATACAGAGAAAAACCCAACAGTCATAAGATCCCCTAATACGAAGCACTTTGGCGACAGTGGGAAGAAAAAAATGCCCTTTTAACAGAAAAAAATACTTCCAGCAGGCTATGGAGGGGCAGCCATCTCCCACAACCAGTTGGGGGAGAGGAAGAAAAAGCAAAAGACATGCTGTGGACAACAACATGCAGTGATATAAAATCAGTTTAAGAACTGTCTGTCTGTTTCTCACAGACTCTGTATGGCTTGAGCTGATGGCTTCTTTGTTTGAGGAGATTTTGTTTTTAATGTGCTTTCATAAATCTGATATTATTTATATAAAGGTTTCTAAAAATGTGTCTTATCATCGGTGAAAAACTAATACCGCTTTTTTCCAGAAATCTGCATTAAAAGGGACTTCCTCTACAGCTGGGCTCACAGAGGAGACCAGATTGAACCTTGCTTTTTAAACTTTTTTTGTCTGCTGCATTTCTGCCTTGAATCAAAGGGGGCTGTATGATCTTTAAAACAGATAAAGCTATTGTGTTCAGAATCAGAATACAAAATCTGTATTTGTGTTCAGTTTTAAGAATAGAGTGGATGGTTTCTGAAAAGTGTCTTAGAGGTGGTGAAAAACTGTAAGACTGCAGGTCAGCCGGGGTCTCAGCTCAGCTTGGCAGCAGAGAGACCACTCTCATCTTTCAGTCCAACAATACAAGTCTGTTTTAACCAAGAAATTAATTAGAGTTGAAAGCTGAAACCCTGGGAGAAGGGGGGTTGAAGGTTATATGGCCTTTAAGGTTTTATAAAGTGTCTATAGTTGTGGAAAGTTTTATCATTTCTTTATTTGTACATAGAAAACAAACAGAAAACACAGCTGCTTCAAAATGATTTGACATGCACATTGGTCCCTGACTTTTTAAAGCCGTTTAATGTCTTTAATTTATTGTTTTGCGTTCATGACCACAATAGGCTGAAAATCCAGTTCATGGCATGTTTTTACTGCTCCTCTTTAACAGAGGAGTTTCCTGTGTAATAATGATTACGATGCAATAAGCACAGACACTAACGACAGAATCTCTGTCGTCCTTGTGACACATTGACAGGTTGGAATAACAATTTTTTTTGGTTCACCATGAGTTGAATATGTGGAGGAAAATGGATGGATGAATGGTTCATTATGCGTCAGGGTGAAGTTAGCTGGTTTGGCCAATCAGCTTTTGATTCCTACATGATGTCAGAGCTAGTCGTAATTTTTTTTTTTGAGCTACTCATAATTGAATCCGAAATTGAAAGACACATCCTCCCAGATCAGACGTGTGTCCCTGGATGATGTCATTCTTGCTCTTAACCCTGCCTACAAAGCTCTGATTGGCTCATTATAGCTGCCAGTTAACACAAACACAGACTTCAGAGTAACTAACAAGCCTGAGATGTAGTGGAGTGATTTGAAGGTGGGTTTTGCAGGTAACAGGTGACCAGCAGGTCACATGAGTCACAGTAGTTACAGTTCACTTGTTTTCACTTGATTGTGTAATCAATATGTTTGACTGGAAGTTAGCAACAATTTCTACCTGTCTAATCTAAGGTAACCTCCAGGGGCAGACCTGAACATCACCTGGTTAGGATGGGTCACCTGCTGTTGAACCCTACTCCAGTGCAAAATAGGATGGATTTCAGGGCCAGTGAGGACCAGGAAAGTAACATTCATATAAGAACCAGTACATGATCTAGTAGTTTTAGTCTCAGTCGTATTTGCAGTATTTTCATAGATAGCATGAGCAGCCCCTCCCTTCCTGCCTGAGTATAAATACGAGTGTTTGAAGGAGGAGCTGCAGCTCTTCAGGTGCGTCTCTTTAGCTCAGCACACACCTGTCACACAGCAACATGCTGCCAGCGTGAGTATTTGCAATACTACTATTACTACAAATGTTACTCTATGTACTGCTAAAGATACCAGCATGAGTGATACTACTAATATTACTGCATTTTAAAATAATAATACTGCTCTACACAAAGCTGTTGATGACTACTCCTTCATTTTATTCTTGTTACACTGTTATCCTCCTGTGCTTGTACTACCAAAACTGTTTCTACTGCACTATATACTTTTGATACTACTGCTACTAACAATAGTATTAATAATATTAATAATAATAATAATAATGCACTTAACATTGATAAAACTACTAATGCTACTGCATTTTAAACTGCTTCTATTGCCACAACCATTATACTGCTAACACTAATAATACCACCGCATTTTTACTGCAGTAGTATTAATAGTCTACTATTACAACTACTAATAATAATACACTTTATACTGTGAAGACTGCTGTTACTCATATGACTTGTGCTAGTGCTACTATAACTGCACTATACAACAAACACTGCTGCATGTCGGTGTTGTAATACTTTAGTACTTTTGCAGTTCTGCTGTGCTTCATGTAGTTGAAATCATTGGTATTACTTCATCCTGACTGGATGCAGATTATTACTGACTGTTTTTGACTGTCAGCTCATTTGTCCAATCAGATCACTAAAAAAGTTTCTTGTTTTTTGATCCAATCAGAGTTCAGCCATCCTCATTCCACGTGGTGATGGTATTGATTTGTGTATTGATTGATTTCAGCAGAAATGGACTCATTACTAATGATCATTGATGAGGTTTATTGGTGCTGATTATTTTATTGTCCCTGTATCTTATTGATGAGTGTATGTGAGGCTGATTCTGACAGTGTTGGTCAGTACTGATTAATCTCCTCTGTCACAACAGAAATCTATTGATCATGTCCATGGCCGTCTTTTTGACAACAGCAGTTTCTACCGCTCCCTTGGAGGGTAAAAAAAAGAGAAGCTATGTTTTGTATCTTATTTCATTTTATTATTTCTGTTTGGAGAGAAGACTTTCTGTGTGTCTTCCAGAGAAGGAGCTGGAGGAGGTGGAGGTTGAGGCCACAGAGGAGGGGGAGGTGTCCGAGGAGGAGGAGGGTAGGCCTTGTGTGTGTGAGAGAAACCAGCTTTTATCGTGAAAAGCAGATTCGTGTCAAATTGTTCATGAAGCATAAACTCAGAGTTTATACTGATGACAAAATGAAACCAAACTGAGGTCACACGAATGGAACCTGACCCTCACACAAACCTCAGAGTGGACAACAGCATCATCGTCTGTGATCTTTTCAAACCGGTTTAAACTTAACATAAAGACACAAACATGTCACACATTTCAGTCACAAAGCTTTTTAAAATAACTCTTCAGGCAGTGAGATTCTTTCTTTATTAATGAAACACTATATAACCATGACATAACCTTAGGTAATCAGTGTTTGCCAAATATTACCTGGTGTTGGTTCTTGGGGTTTGTTTGGGTGAGTAAATGTGTGTGAGACATTCTCAATGACCCCTCTTCGGGTCCCTGTACAAAGTAGAGTGGGTGTGAGACTGTAGGGCTGACAGTGAAGGTTTGGAGAAGGTGGTGTTTGCTGTTTTTGAGGGAAAAATGACAAAATCCAACAGCTTTTTCACAGTACTCAGTCCTCAGAACATCACCTATCTCTCATTTGTGTACTAAAATGTTTTTACTGACACAAATCACTACATCCGGGTCAAGATAATATAGGTTTTCTTTGTTTATTGTTAATTTGTTTGTGTTTGACTGAATTAATTTCAGTGTAAGTCCTGTAGGATGCGTGGCCTCTGTCCAGTAAATGAAATATTAGAAATCATAAATCTTCGTGAAGCAGTGAGTGCAGCACATGTGTTAATGCTAAGCTAGGTGACATACGCGCATAGGGGAAAGGTAGAAGGAGTCAGAGGTCAAAAGTCAGAGCAGAAATAAAAAGACACTAAAACAGAGAAGTGTGACATTTGTTTAAAACTTCTAATTAGACATAAATGTTGGATGTCTTCTCTTTCCAGATGATGATGACTCCAAGAGTCAAGATAAGATTGAGGGTGAGAGGCAAAACACACTGTGACCTTTGCCCTGTAGTTTTATCTTATAAACCTGCATAAACACAAAGAAATGAAAAGTTCAAACATCAGACTGTTGTTTAAATGAACGTGACGTGAGAACCTTATAAACATCTCTTTAAAAATCTGTGTGTAATATATGTTTTTCAGTCTTATCTAAATGTGTCACAGAATGAATCTCAAATGATGCCTTTAGGTTTATAATAATATCTGGAAACACAAGCTTCATTCATGCCGAACACCTGACAGTTTGCTCCTCCCCCTCCTGCAGGAGCATTTGGTGGGCAGCGGACCACCACGGCAACGGTGGTGGCAGTGGGGGCTGCTGGGGGTTCAGGTGAGTAGACCTGATCAGGTTTTTCCTTCCTGAATAGTTTTTTTGTTTGTTCCAACTGGTCTCAGGTTTAATCCAGATTAACTGGCTGCTTTTCAGACCAGGATTACCCTGAATGGGTCTAGTCCACTTCCTGAGCTCCTCAGGTTACTGCAGGATGTCCAGAACCACGGCATCACATACAGGACAAACTCTGCAAAAGCAAAAGCAGCAAATATGTTACTAAACACAAGCAGTGAAGTCTCTGCAGTCTTTGAGAGACTAAAACTCTTAGTTTGTGTTTCTTATATTCACATGTAGCTGTGTACAGTCTAATTTCAGCTAACTGTAATAATCTACTGCCTGTTCATTTTTTAGCTTTATTTGATAAACACAGTGAAGAGAAGACAGGAAGGCAGGAGCAGAGAGAGAAGGAAGAAGGCATGTGGCCGCGGGTCGGACTCAAACCCAGGCCAGCTCTCAGTAGTATGGCATGTGGTTGCCAGCTCCATGCATTGAGCCAAACTAGCGCTCCCAGACTGTTCATTTTTAAAAGAAATATGAAATCACCATTATGTTAGAAAGTACTGAAAAATAATATTTAGTTTTTGTATTTCACACAAGCGAATATTGAGGAAGAAATGTAAATGTTTGATGATAAAATCGTGCTTCTTTTTTATGGAAGTAAAGATTATAAATGTGTTTTTCAGCAAGAAAACATGAAGATGAGCTTTTGGTGACATGCGTGGTTTGACTCAGGTGTATTTTCTCTGCAGGTGTCTCCTCTGACATTCAGGATCTAAGTGGTAAGTTCAGCTAAATGTATAGTTTCTTGAAGATGTTAGAGAAAAGTACAGAACTGATAGCTTATCAGAGTCTATCCCAACTTTATTGAGAGACATTCTCTTATTTGATTGAAATATTACTGATATTTCTGTGTTCTGTGTTAGGCTTTTGGCTTTGGGACCTTGTGTAGTCATAGAAAACAGAGCTTCTCTGACATTTAGTTGTTAAACTAAGGTTCACGAAACAAAATAAGTAAGAGTTGAAAATTCATGACGGTTTACTGTTTTTCTCAGAGCCTGCTGTACACCCTGACAGTTATCATTAGAAAAAACACTCAACATCAAATCCCAGAAACTGCATCATGGGAAGCCCCCAGCAATCTGAGGCTATTATAACATAACTAGCAGTCAGGCTCACCTGACTATATCCATTATCAAAGAGGAAAGTTTTAAGCCTAATCTTAAAAATAAACAGGGTGTCTGTCTCCTGAATCCAAACTGGTTGCTGGTTTCACAGAAGAGGGGCCTGAAAGCTGAAGGCTCTGCCTTCTATTCTACTTCCATTCTAACTCTACGGTCTGAGAGCAAATATACTTGTTTAAAAATGATGTTTATTTTCAGCTTCCAGTGGTCAAACAGCAGGGGGAAGAACACATGAAGGAACAGCCGGAAGCTCAGCAGGTAAACCAGGTGAATCTCATCCAGAGAGAAACGCGATGACAAATATGAACATCTTAGACAGTAAAATGTTTGATTTGAATGGGAATCAGATTTCAGTCACTCTGCTCTGATCACTTCTCTGACTTTTGTTAGGTTACAGTCTCATCAGTGGAAACACTCCCTACTTAAAGGACCGCACAGAAATTTGTGTGGCAATTTAATACTTTTAAGAGACATGTTACACTCCAACCTCTTTACAACGGTTGAACTATCCAGTCATTTTGCTACATCAATACAGTGTAGTGCCTCTACTCAGGACCAGTAAAGATTAGATGGATTCTATAGCGTTTTTCTACTCTGAGCACAAAGCAGGTTCTACAACTTGTCCCATTCATCCATTCTCATAAGCACTTTTTACTTATGCTATTCCTATGTAAGTGTTTCTATCTAACATTCACACATATTTATACTCTTGGCTGCTCTCAAGTGGGGTTAATATCTTGGCAAATGTCTTTGGCCTGTATTTGCATGCAGACTGGAGCACACAAGGCTCAAACGACCAACCTCCCTATTAGTAGGTGACCTGCTCTATCTCCTGAGCTACAGCCACCTCTTATTGTACTGCAATATCAATTTCAACACAGACTCCAAATATCTACGTAGGTTTGGAAGGAGGTTTTGATTTTAGGGTCTCAGGAAAAAAGTCATCACTGAAGTGAACAACTGGGACCCTGTTACCTTAGGAAAGCTCATAAACAATACACAGTACACAGTCACACAACCTGGAAAATAACACCTGCTCTTCATAGGTGTAAAACAAACAAAATAAAAGGAGAAATGAAATTAAATAAAATTAATAAAACAAAATAAAGTCTTCCTGTTGTAGAATGACAGAAGTCCAGTCTGAATTGTCTTTTAATGTTCCTTGTGACCCAAAAAGCAGTGCCTGTAAGGACGTGTGTGTCCCTTCAAAGCAGTGCTTTAAAGCACAACTACCCATCTACTACCCGGGTAGGACTAATAAAACATCTGAATCCCAAGGAATAGCTTGACTCAGCCCTTCAGAGATCTCCCACAATCCAATCGCATGGCTGGCCACACCATTTCACCATCATCCAGAATGTAATTGGGCTGTACTCACCATCAATGGTTCTCTACAATCCTGTGTTGGGATTTTTCAATACTAATATTGCAACACCAGTTGTTTTTTTCTACTCAGAATTCATGGCCAGGATCTCTTTGTCTTGCTCTGATACACACTTGGCCACCATTACTGGAAACAATCTCACATGGAAGTGTTAGACAATGCTTCCTGTGCTCAAGACATAAGTTCATTGCACGTTCTGTAAGGGCTTTGAACATCTGACCATTTTACTTTTTTTGTATTTAGAAGCTAAAACTGCTCCTGTTGTTACAGGTTCTGCAGCAGCTGAGATCTCTGATGTTTCCACAGCTTTGATCCATTCTGCAGGTAAACAGCCTGGGCTTTTTAAAAAATGGCAGATATGTGGACTTTTATTTTGAAGAACAAACAGGGTGCAGTCAATAACTATTTGCGGCCTGTATCCATTTGGATGGAACAAAACTTCATGTCAAAACACTGAAATCATCATCAAATGGCATCATGACATTACAAAAACGTAAACACAAGAATTAAGGTGTTTATCATTAAGGGGGAAACAAATCCAAGCCTATGTGGCTCTGTGTGAAAAAGTGATTACCCCCTAAACCTAATAACTGGTTGGAAAAACCTAAGCAGTAATAACTGCAGTCTAGTGTTTGCGATAACTGGAAATAAATGCTGTGGAGGACTTCCCTCTCATCTTTGCAGAATTGTTGTAATTCACCCACAGTGAAGGGTTTTCAAGCCTGAACCACCTTTTTAAGGTCACCCCTCATCTCAACCAGATTCAGGTCAGAAATTTGACAAGGCCCCTCTAAAGTCTTCGCTTTGTTTTTCTTAAGCCATTCAGAGGTGGATTTGCTGGTGTGTTTTGGATCATTATCCTGCTGCAGAACCCAACTGCACTTCGGCTTGAGATCACAAGCAGATGGCCAGACATCCTCCTTCAGGTCGTTTTGGTAGACAGCTGAATTCATTGTTCCATTTACCACAGCAAGTCTTCCAGGTCCTGAGGCAGTAAGCAGTCCCAGACCATCACCATACCGGCATCATATTTTACTGTTGGCGTGATGTTCTTTCTCTGAAATTCTGTTACTTTTATGCCAGATGTACTGGACATACACCTTTCCAAAAGGTTCAGCTTTTGTCTCATTAATCCACAGTATTTGTGAGCAGAGGTTATCATCTCGGAACTCTCTTTTTCCCCCGTCTTGTAGAGTCATGAACCTTAACTGTGGCACGTGAAGCCTGAAGTTCTTTGAAAGTTGTTCTGGGGTCTTATGACCTCTTGAATGAGTCGTTGCTGCGGTCTTGGAGTCATTTTGGTCGGTTCACCACCACACCATCACACCTCTTCCTTCATGGTGGTAACCATGTAGTAGTAGTAGAGAGCATCCTTTCACAGCGGGTGGAACTAAAGATCTAAAATTTGGACTCATCAAAGGAAAGCAGATTTCTACGCATCTGATGTCCATTCCTTGTGTTTCATGACCTGAAACAAATCTTTTCTGCTTGTTGCTTTTCCTTAGTAGTGGTTTCTTAGCAGCTTTTTGACCATAAAGACCTCATTTGTACAGTCTCCTCTGAACAGTTGATGTAGAGATGTGTCTGCTTCTGGAACTGTGGCATTTACCTGGGCTCTAATCTGAGGTGCTGCATAACATGACTGAATGTCCCAACCCCATTAAGAAGGCAATAAATGCCACAAATAAACCCTGACGAGGCACACCTGTGAAGTGAAACCCATATCAGGTGACTACTCATGAAGCTCACTGAGAGAAGGCCAAGGGTTTGCAGCACTGTCAACAAAGCAAAGGAATCTAAACTATAAGACATATTTAGAGTTATTTATCATTTTTTTTCTTTGCTTAATAATTCCATATGTCTTGCTTCACATATTTGATGTGTTCAGTGTGTATCTACAAGGCAAAAATAGTAAAAAATAAAGAAAGTCCATTAAATGAGAAGGTGTGTTAATCGATGATTTCTGTGTTTTAAGGAGACAAGCATTCTTCTGCTTTATCTCACACAGAAACAAATGGTAAGTCCAATTATTACTCTGCTGGCATTTTGAGAATTATGTATTCATTAAGCTCAGCACAACAGCTGACTGTACGAGCCCTTTAGCATAGAAAGCTTCACATCTTTAAACCTGGTCTTTGTCTGCAGGTTCTGCAGGAGCTGTCTCAGAGACCAACAGTAAGTAGCTTTCAAATCCCTCAAACAGAGACCAATCAATAGATCATTGATTAAACATCAATGAGTTGAAGACCTTTCAATATGTCTGTGAAGATTCTCAGTTCATTGTAGTCTAAGGAGCTTGGAAAGAAAAGCATCTGGACTTCTTTAAGTTTCCTTGAAGAGGTTTCACCTCTCATCCGAGAAGCTTCTTCAGTTCTTGGGTCAAATGGTGGAGAGCCCCAGATTTAAGCCCTGTGGGAGTGTCCCCCCAAGAAGGACAACAGACCCCCTATTGATCCTCTACCTAATCACACGAACCAAGGTGTGAAAACGGGTGTAGGTCACAATCAGCCAAGGTTTTTGGTGAGCTCATTGTGAAACCAAGCTCCATCCTATTATGTGATTTCCTGATCGAGCGATCTGGATTATAGATGGTAGGCAGTTGGTGTCGTAACCCACCGCCTCTGTTCAAGGATGGTCGTTCACAGTGGACATAGATGGCATTGGCATCTTCGAAAGAGTGACCTTTGTCCTTTAGATGCCATTGTCCCTCTCATGGGGAAACACCCACAGGGCTTAAACCTGGGACTCTCCACCATTTGACTCTAGAAAAGAATAAGCTTCTCGGATGAGAGGTGAAACGTCTTCAAGCAACTTAAAGAAGTCCAGACGAAAGATCTTACAATCTCTTCAAAAAATTATCAATTCTTGTTTTGTTTTGTTTTTTCGAGGTAATGGACAGAAGCTCCTGAATGGAGGAGGAGGGGGTGGAGTTGGCAGTCAGACAGGTAACGCGGTATGGAGAGGGGCTACAAGGGAGACAGGTGAAACCTATTTTTTAAGAAGCTCAGAGACATTAAGTTCAACTCTCTTTTCCAGATGCTGTGGGATTCTTTCAGGGTGACGTTTCTCACCTGGGTCTTACAGGTGAGTGTCCAGGTGAGGTGTCTGTGACATCACTTTTACTTCATCAGATCCAAGTCAGATTTTTAAGTGCTACAAAGGCAAAGATCACTTCTATGGCTTTAAGGAGGAATCTCTCAGCAGCTGTCATTGACTTTTTCTCCTTTAGGATCCATAGAGCCATCTAGCCATGACTTCCTGCTTGGCATGATGGGTAAGTTCAGCTGCTCTCATTTTACAAACCAATAATTTTCTTAAATCTGAAGCTTGATTTGATGATAAAATCTGAGGTCATTCCAGATACACACTGACTCTTTTGGTCTTTTGCTCCAGCTCTGACTCACAGAGGGATGTGGCGAGTTTCAACACAAACAGGCTTTCTCTGCAGTAGCGGGCTCAATAAAACCTTAAACCCCAGTCAGAGATAATGATTATCAGATTATTAGTCTTCTTTGTTAGGCCAGGCTCTCTGCTTCACTCCCTGAGAGCCCTCAGACAAAATGGGTTATTTCACAGGTCATAGTCATTTGTGAGTGACACATTATCAGATGATGATGGTGATGATGATGATGATGATTAAAACGTCAAGGAAGAATATAAAAATATCACATAGAGCAAGATGGGGATGTATGTCACAGAGCAGTAAAATATTTTAATTACAGCTAATTATTTTACCTATGAGTATGGTCAATGCTGCTGTTTATTTCTGTAGACACTAAAACTGGTGAGCCAAATTGTGTTACAGGAAGTTCTTTAAATAAAAGGGGATCAGATTCCCAGGGCACAGAGACTACAAGTCTAACAAGAAAAAGTTTATTCATGGAGGTGGGAAGCAGGAATAAAAGCAAACAAAATTCTAAAAAAACGTATGGAATAAAATGTTCTTGGTACCCTAAAATCCCCCAAGAACAAATAAAAACAATTCTTAAAACTACAATAAAATGTTCTTTGTACAGTAAAATCCCACACAGTCCAGCAATTCAATTGTCCTACAACCCAATACCAATGTTCCTTATATGTAAAAGTTAAAGAGAGGAATTCCTCTTCTGAAGTGGGGACCACCTCATCCCTCCACTGGGCACCCCACATCACAACCCAGCTTGCACTCCGCACTCGAGTCTCTCGCTCGCTGCTTCGCCCTGTAAATAAACATACTGGCCAGAACCATCGTCTGACCTGGCTAATAGCCATGTCATATCTGGCCCTTCCCCTTGCTCAGCCAACTTTCTTTAAACAAGTCCTTTCCCCAGCTGATAGGCCATACCCACACCTCAACAGACGCCTGCTATTTGCTAACTGTCCAGAGTCCACAGTGGATTAAAACAATAGCATGCAAAACAAAAAAAACAAACACTAAAAACATGCAATACAAATATCAGAATAAAATCATGCAAATATAATCAGAACCCCACTCACAAATAAACACTAAAATCAGAATAAGACCAATTATAAAGAAAAAAACAAAATACATCTCGGTGACAGCTGCACCTTAGTTGTGAGATCTAAAATTGGATCTATTAAGGCTTCCTGCTACCTGCTGCTCTCTGGCAGGTATCTCCATGCCCTCCTGGGTTTTAAATGCACCTTAGGACACACATGCATCAACACTACATATGAGCGGGTGGAGGGAGGTTTGGAGTCTTCACACACCCCCGCTACCCCCACACCCTCTAGCAGATCATTACATGAAGGAACTTTTTGAATACAAGCGCTCTCACGCTCACAGGTGTACACACGGGTGCTCACACACACAAACGACACTCTTTTTGGCTGCTACCTCAAAGCACACTGTGCGCTGTCGAGCTTACGTGCTGCACAATAATATTCAATATTTAGTATTTACTGTTATATTCACATAGATTATTGCGATGATGTTGTTTATTATATTGCTCTCCTTTTTTTGCTTGTTTGATATATGTATTTTTTGTCTGTTTGTTTTGTTTGTTTTGTTTTTTGCCCTTTATCACCATCCCTCTTCCCCGCTGTTCGCTCTTCCCCTACCTCTCTTTCATTCTCCCTTTTCTTTCCCCCAGTCAAGTCTGTCCCATGTGTAGCAAGTGAAAATAAAATAAAATAAACAATTATATATTTAAAAAAAAAAGGCTTCCTGTCCCACAGCCTGATGAAGGAGACATGGAAATCAGATCAGAGTGAATGAATGTGATTGGTTGAACAGGTGTTCTTGGCGTCGATGAGACTTAGCAGGAAATCACAATCAAGTAGAAGAATATTCACACATTTTCTAAATAATCACATGAACACATTCTTGTGACAATGTGGTGCACAGCTTGTGCTTCATTCGGTGAGTATGGTATGATTTACCACACATATAAAACATATTCCCACGGCAGAGAATCTCTATTACACTCAAAACATGCTGGAAATAATTAAAATAAATAAAAATAAACAGTGACAATGTGGTTGATTCAAACCAAAACTCTGAATATAACATTTTGCTGATCAGGTGATATTTTCATATAAAAAGAGAGCCTCTTTCATGAGATATAAAGACAAGACACAGATAAAAAGCCATTAATGTCATTTTCCAGTATACCTGTCAGATGTCTGAGCCAAGAAGAAACACAGTAAACATGATTCTGTATTTTATTGTAGTGGAATGTTTCTGTGTTTTTAGGTGGTGATGCTTTCGGTCCAGATGGTCACGTTAACATCCCAGGTTTGATTTCTTTCTGAAACACTTAAAGTGATTCTTTGATTAGTGAACTTAACCATGACTACTAAAGCTGGGGGAAAGGGCTCTGATGTGATTTAGGGTTTGTTGTTGTTGTTGTTTGTTTGTTCTGTTTTGATTGTTTGATATTGGTGTTAATTATTGTTTTGCTTTTTGTTTCTGAATTATCACAGGTAACATGACAGCACCCTCTCACCTGGAGCCTTCAGGTATGACTTCCTCTTCATTTAATAATGTCTGAAATTGGACAAATCACGCTGGTTGATGTTTTTCTTTTGGTGCAGGTGTGACAGCAACTCCACATGCAGATCAGAACAGTCTGAACTCACTTGCAGGTGAGTACAGACTCCTCCCCCACTAACGTCATCCAAATATATCACATGATGTTTTTGAACTGTCCAATTGTTTTTATTCAGCCAAAAGCATTATGTAGCTGCTAGTGGCAGTTCAAACACAGCATCTGTGTTTGTATCTCTGCTGCTTCCTTTCCTTGCTTGTTAATCTTTCCTACCTCCTGTTTCCTGGTATTGAAGATCTTGTTCATCATTCTGATACCATCGTTGATCAGCCAGGACCAGATCAAACTTTCCTGAGTTCAGGACCTGACCAATCATTACCCAGTTCTGTCTCTGGCTCCTCCCACTCTGCAGGTTGTGAGAGGAAAGACTTTTACTCTGAAAACCAGATTAACTTTTACTCTGAAGTTTACCTTCATCTCTTATTTAGTAAAGCAAAACAGCATCTTTTTCCTTTTCAGGGGCAGTGTCTTCATCCTCAACACACATTGAAGCTCTCAGAGACCAGAAAGGTGATCTCACACTAGCATAAATGTAATCCCAAAGGTTTTAAACTTTACATCAGCTCCACTGTAGACTTTTCAATGTTGTTTCTTTTTTTCTAAACTTAAATTTAAAAAAGACACATTATTTGGCACCTGAACTAAGGAAAATATCACGGGTCCCGATCCTTCATTATCTGTTGACCATATTTCATATTGGTGCTGTATTTGTCCTCACAGATGCAGCTGATTCAGCTGGTACTGATGGTAATTCCTCAGAGCTTCATGCTCTTAAATTTACTGCATATAAAAATACCTTCAACTATTTAATTATTGTTTGATTTTCTGAATTTGCTTTGTGTTGTTTAGGAAACGGTCGACAGACCCTGTTGACAGACACAAATGGAGGTAAACGTTCACCATTTTAGTTCACTTTGATAAAAACATTCAGATCTGCAACAGAACACACCTGAGTAGACCAGACTATCCATCTGTCACCCACCTCGATGATTTGTCCATTCACGGTAGCAGCAGGCTAAGCTCCAGACATTATTCTCCTCAACAGTATCTTCCAGTTCCTCCCTGAGAATTAAGAGTCTCTCACAGGCCAGATGAGATATATTACCTCTTTGATTTGCTTCATAAATAAATGAATCATGGAACAGAGGACCCCAAAAAAGGAAGAAGAAAATCCCATCTTTAATCGGAAACAGGCATTATTCATACACTCTGCGTTTGCAAAAGGCAAAATTTAAAAGAAAAAACTCCAACAGGTCATATGTGAAGGGTGGGAAAAAGAAAAACAAAAGAATACATTAAAGACCCACGTTACTTGACTGTGATCAGTTGCTATGAAGCAACGTATCTTTCCCTTATCTGGATTCACTTACCATAAGATTTATGATCTGGATAAACGTTCACATGAAACTTACTATCTGTCACATTAGCCCAGGGTTTCCCCTGCATGTTTACATAAAAGTGGTAGTGTTGGCTGTATCTGATCAATCACAAAGGTCTCGTGACTCTTGTTCCACAGAAAGTGATCTGTGAATGTTACTTACTGGGCAGCACAGTATTATGGTGGTTAGCACTGTTGCCTGCATTCGACTCCACCATTTGGCTGGTTGTATGTTTTCCCCACGCTTCTTCCCACAGTTCAAAAATATGCAATTAGTGGGATTAAGTTAATAGGTGATGCTAAAGTGTGAATGCCCCCCCGTTACCGTGATAAGGATACTTGAAAGAGAACTGCAATTGCACTCATCCACTGGTCCATCTCAATCATCACTCAAGATTAAGATCCTGAAATACTTAACTTAATCACTTGGAGCAGCAACACGGAGGGAGTAATCCACCATCTTCTCGCAGAGGACCATGGCTTCAGAGAAGGAGGTGCTGATTCTCAGCTTGGCCCTGGTGTAAGATAATGGTCATGTTCTGAAAAAAACAACAGTACTACCTCATCTTCAAAAAGCAAAAGCCCTCTGTATCAATTTAGTGATTCTTCATTTGAACACAGGTGAACATAAGACATTTGTTGAAAAGTCAGATAGTGGGTTCAGAAGGATTCCTGGCTCAGATCGCCCCCTTAGATACTCCTCACACCACCTTCATCGCCAACATTTGTTTCTGCAGTTTAACTTTGCTGTTTGTGTTTCTGCAGCAGAGACAGAAAAACTGGTTTCCTTCAGCGATCTTTATACTGATCTCACAGGTACAGTCTAATCAAGCTAATTATTTATACCAGATTATATGTTGGAATTCAGTGTCTCCATTGTTCCATCGTTAGACTAGTAAACTGTTAACATTATGAGCTAAAAGAAGCTAAAAGTCCGGAGTATGTAATGTTTACGTCACCAGGTCAGGGAGTGGTACTGCTCAACATGAAGCTCTTTAAATGGTTTGAACACTTCTTACAAAAATAGCCTCACATTTTAAGTTATACAATTTGCAGTCAAAGACAAGGCGTACAGGAAGTACAGGACAACAGCCAAAGTGCAGAATAACTGGAAACCACACCCGAGTCACCTTATCCAGTCGTTAATCTGGAATCAGGATTGTATTTTAAATGATCAGTGAAATAATGTGATAAATAAAGATGTGCTGATGATGTCATCAGGTGGTGCAGAGTCAGTAACCAGGATTAACGTCAATCTCACAGGTGAGGTGAACAGATCAAAAAAAGCTGTTTACTGATAAACAGTGTTAGTAATGGATGAAGCTCTGTGTTCTGTTATTTCTAGCTCCAGGTCTTGGATTCGGGCATGATGTCACAGGTACTACTACTTACTATGACTATGAAGCTCATTGGTTCATAATCCGGTGTGGGGGAGGGGGGTTATCCACTTTCTGTCACATGATCATGTGTTACAGAGTCTCCATCCATTATGATCCAAACTGCGTCTGTCGATGTCACACAGACACATAACCCAGGTACACATATCTTTACATTTGTCTTTACAGTTGTCCCTGGTTCTCTTTGTGCATTTGTGTGTATATCTTTGTGTATGGCCGTCTGTCTCTACATCTGTCTTTCTGTCTGCCTGACTGTAAATCTATCTGTACATCTGCCTGTCTTTCTGTAGGTCAGCCTTTGCATCTGTCTGCTTCTGTACACCTGTCTGTACATTTGTCTGTATATCTGGGTTTACATTTTCCTGTCTGATTCTCCTCTGCTTTATTCAGTTTCAGGCATTCACCCTCACACAGATCTGGTTACCATGACAGCAGACTTCTCTGGGACAGATACAGGTATGTCCATCTCCCTTCAATATACTAACAGTTAATTAACAGACAGGTGAGAGGTCAAAGGTCAGATGTATGTTCTGTGTGTTTCAGTTGCAACAGATCATACAGGAAGGCTTCTCGACTCTAGTAAGTTCTACTATACCTATTCCCACCTAAAAAAAAAAACAGTCCAATTCCAGCGACTTGCCCTAACTCACAAGGGTTGTCACACAGCCAAGTATACAACATGCTCTTTATACACTTAGAGGGAGCCTGCAATTAATCAAAGTTCCAAGGGCTATGGTGTTTACTTATGGTTTTGTAGGGGGGGGCTTAAAGTAAAAAAAAAAAAAAAAGGTTTATTGATCATGTTTTGATCATTTCTTTGATCTTTGCTTATTGATGCTGTTTAAAAAACAACAACCTAGATGTCCTTTGTCGCCTCTGAAGGGTGAGGTCTAAGGAGCTTGCAAAGAAAAACGTCTGGACTTCTTTAAGTTGCTTGAAGACGTTTCACCTCTCATCCGAGAAGCTTCTTCAGTTCTAAGGGTCAAATGGTGGAGAGTCCCAGATTTAAACCAGTGGGAGTATCCCACTCCAGACGCTTTTCTTTCCAAGCTCCTTCCATTACGATGACCTGGGTGACTGAGAACCCGCACAGACACTCTTACAAATCCGGCAGTTTAAAGTGTGAGCATGAAACAAAGCAGCATCGCTGAGAAAGGTGTAGATCAGTGTCATGTGGTCTATCACGAGGTTCTGGCTCATTCCTGTTAATAAACTCACATTCAAACGCAGGAGAAGATCAAGTTGTGAGGTTTAGTGTTTGTGACTGACTGGGATTGAGTTCATGTTTCAGAGTGTCTGTTCTTATTCTGCTGTAGGTCTGTGTCTCTTTGTGGATGTGTCAACACCTACTGAATACACAATGTGTGTGTCGTTTTTTTCTTTTGCAGGTCCTCCAGCTGTGACAGATCACACACAGATGGCTGGTAAGTCTTAAAAATGTTCACAGCTTTAAAAGGTTTAGAACACATACCTGAAATACGGACAGAGCCTGTATGCCACGTGGAAACCTATGCCCTCTAGAGGACTAAGACTGCATATGCTCTTTTCCACATTGCCACCATATTGGAAAATTCCATGTATTCCATGTCTTCTATGTACTAGTGGGGAATTGTAATCTTACCAAGTAGTTAAAAACACACACATTGGGGGGATTGTTGTGAACTTCTGTATTTGTGATTTTTGTATAAAAGCATCAGAGGTTAATAAGTAAGAAATCTTTGTAATCCTCAGGGTAAAAACATCTAGTATATCAGACCACTGACTAATGATTGCATAGTTTCTTCAGGGGGAGGGGCTTAAGCTTTTCAAGCCTGGGTTAATGCTAAGATAAGTTTCTTCTTTGGTTGTTAATATCAGTATTTTTGTAAATAAATAAATAAATAAATAAATTGCAGATTGGATGAAGAGAATTCTTCCCTCCAAGTGTACTTTCTCCTTTGCATCTGTGCCCCAGAAGGTTCAAAGGTGTGCTGGATGCGGTTTGGGGTCCCATTTTTTGGTTAAAGGATATTTTGCTGTTTGTATCTGATATGAGATCAGGTGCTGAAGGCTTGTTCTTTCTCTTTTCTTGGTTCTGCTTGTTCTCTGCAGGTTCAGTTACTGAACAGTACAACCCATCTGGTCAGGGTCCTGAAGGTTTGTTATCATCACACTCTTGACTCGAATCTTTACAATATTTCATTTACCGTAATACATTTTCTCTATCACTGAAGATGTCCTGAGCAGTCTGATGTTTCCTGTTTAGTTTACACTTTCTTTGTATTCAATGTTCATCAAACCCTGAAAGTGATTTTTATTTAAAAGAACCTTATGTCAGGGTCATGAAAACCCTGCAGCATCAGTACTGGATGTGTTAGATCTGTCCCTCCAGATCCAGATAGTAAAAACCCACACATAAATTCATTAAGTGTTTTAACTCATACCAGAGGGTATAAAAATGATCCAAAATATGATCCATTATTTAAACCGTCTATTGTAGCATGCAACAGAGAAGCTTTGCAAACACATGCTGGAACATGTTGAAAACGTGTGTTAATTAATATGTCTGTTTGGAATGTTTTTATTTTTATTGTTCTCATGTGAAGCTTTTCACTGAATCTTAGTTTCTCGTTCAGGTACAGAAAATGTGGAACTGGAGGATACCTGCTGACTTCCACATCAAACCGCGAGTTCGCTTCCTGCGTTACCGTTTCCAGTGTACCGACCAATCAGCACGGCCAATGAAATCTGACCCCTCCCACTAGCTGTAGGCCCCTCCAGTGAATGGCAGCAGGTGTTTTTTTTTTGTTTGTTTGTTTTTTTAATATTTAAAAATGTCGGTTTATAGACATTTATTTTGTCTTAGAGAATCATGGAGGGAAAGTAAAGAAAATTAGTCTCAACAGTGTGCTGATTCAGATTTGATCTGATGACAAAAAGGAAGTGACATGTTCATTGTAAAACATGGTTTAAAAATTCTGTAATAAATGTGTTTGTTGATCATCAAAACTGAGAATTTGTCTTTTGCCCAAACTGGTCACTAAACTGTCGTCCTGGATTTTGTGAGCTCTGAATAAATCTTATTATTCATCACTGATTGAAGAAAATAAGAACAACCCCAGGTTTCTTAGACTCCATTTCTTAAAATTTTCTGGACCACCACGCCACATGATGTCCGTCTAGTTGACACAGCCCAGGTCCACATCACCCTGAACCCTGGTGAAGGTCTGGTCTGGTGACCCCAGTACGACACTATAAACGGATTACTGGAGGCCAGTGTGATCATCCCATATCAATCATCATGGAATATGCCAATACTTCCCGTCTTTATGGGCCCAGGTAAGGGTAGATGAATGGTACAGGATTTTAGACCCGTGAACAACACCACAACACCAGACGTTCTTCATCCCACTGTAACCATTTGCTTTACTCATCTTCCTGTTTAGGTTTGGAGGCAAAGTCACCCTCTACAATGTAGGCGATTGTAAATTCTTCTTAATTTTCTCTGCTCATGTTCTACATCCTGCTTCTATCATTTAAGAAACATTTCTAAATTGAGCCCTATAGTATCTCATTCTGAACTGGAGATTGTTATTCGTGCATTCATTTCATCGTAATTGGACTACTGTAATTCACTGTTTACATGTCTAAACAAAAACTCCCTGGAGCGTCTGCAGATTGTCCAAAATGCTGCAGCAAGGATTCTGACAAAAACATCTAAGTACTCTCATGTAACACCATTGCTTATACAGCTGCACTGGCTCCCCGTTGAATTCAGAGTCCATTTTAAGATACTGGTTCTGACATTTAAAGCTCTTCAAGGACAAGCACCAGCCTACATCATTGACCTTTTACAGCCCTATGTCCCTATAGTAGGTCCCTGAGGTCTTGTGATCAGGGCCTGCTTGTTATTCAGCATATAAGGCTGAAAACCAAGGGAGATAGAGCTTTTGCCACTGTGGCCACCAGACTGTGGAACGCTCTTCCTCAGAACTTAAGATCTGCGGATCTTTTTAGAATTGCGTTTTGTTAACTTTTGACTGCTTTTGTTTTATACCTTGTGAAGCACTTTGTGATCTCTTATCTAGAAATGTGCTATATAAATAAAATTTTACTTACTTACTTACATAATTGATTCAACCTGAGTACATTTATTAGAATTGTTTTTATTAGAATTTAGACTGAAATTAAGTTTGCATTTCCATCTAACTAATATGATTTTATTGTATTATTATAGCACAAGGTTCAGTTAGCGTTGCAGAATTTCTTTTTTACTTGAGTAAGGACATTGAATCATTTCTTTAACTTTTACCAGAATATTATTTTTAAACCATGTCTGCACTTTTGCCAACACTACTCTCTATGCTACTGAAACTTATTAACCCTAGAATTTATCCCAGAGAACAGTAAAATGAACCTTTAATTATTTACATTTTAACTATGAATTTGCTGTATTCTTCTTATTTCAGTTGCTCCAGGGGTCTTAACAGCGGATTATCTGCCTCCATGTCCTCCTATCCCAGCATTCTCCTCTGTCACAACAGTCCTCCCTCTCTACATCCATGAACCTCCTCTGAGGTCTTTCTATTCTCCTTGTGCCTAGCAGCTCCATCTTCATCCTCCTTTGTCCAGTGTATCCATTCTTCCTCCTCTGCACGTGCCCAATCTTACCTCACCTCTCTGTATCCAAACTGCTCAAAGTGGGCATCCTACACATTACCATCATATGTCTAACTACATTCTCCTCTAACACCACCTCTCACCACCTTTTAGATTGCAGTCTCTGCATACAATACAGTCCATCTGTGAGTACCTTCCTCCCTCTTGATGAAGTAAATGTTCACCAAATTTATTTACATCATTTCCTCACAGTGCTGCTGTGTATGTCAAAGAATGTGCAAATGTGAAAGACATATGCACATTTTAAAAAAGCTATGCTTTAAACTGGATCTGGACTGATACATTTAAGCTTCCTGTTCCACAGCCAGATATAGCAAACATGGAAATCAAATTAATTTTGACTGACTGAAAAGATATTTTTTGTGTGTGTTCTATTCTAGTAGCTGCAGGAGGTAAAAGGTCTGAGCTAACTTTACAGCTGAGCTTCACTGACTGTTGTTAGAAAAGTAGCGCTTACTATAAAACATGGTTTCCTAACAGATAATCTATCAGGCTGAAAACATGCTGGAAATAAACATAGTTGAGGTTAAACTGAAACTCTGAACTTTACCTGCTCCTGACCAGGTGATCTGTTCAGCATCAGTTAACGTGGTGATTTAGCTTACTCACACATTCATTTGTAGAGACAACGCAGTATTACCAACCTTATGACATCCTCACAGTTTGATTTAAATCAACCAGTCATTCATTCACATGCTGCTGTTTAAAAACATTTTATTGAATCAAAATTTTACACTCAGAATACATCAACATTTCATCTGCCCTTTGACCCCGTCTTTGTCCTCTCTACACGTGGAGCGCCATCATGTTAGCCTGGAGGACTCGGGTGGATTTACCACTTGCCTTAAATATAATTGTACTATATTAACAGATGTGTTAATACTGAAGGGAGCTTTCTGTTTGTTCAGCTCTGACCATGTGACCAATAAAATATCCTCAGGACTTCAGGTGTTTCTTAGCCATCAAAGAGACGACTGGTTCAGGTGAGCCACAGGTGACTTAGCAAACAGAAAAGCTGCTCAGTAAGAATGACGACATCACAGATGAGCCCTGTATTACAGCACTGAGCCTGAGATGTGGTTGAGATCTCGGCCTTTGTTTAAACTTTAACCAAGTGAAGCTGTGAGGAATGTTAACCCTGTGTCTGATGACCTAACAACATGCAACCCCGACAAATTCAAACAAAGTTTCCTTAAACTGGCCTTGCAAACACAAACACAATTGGCAGCACGGACCATCATTTGGTTACCTTCAGAGTTCCATCCATGAAGCTTCTGCAGACAAGAATCTCAAACCTGATCCAAAGCATCTCTAATATACAAGTCAAAAAAGGCGCTCATACCATCTCAGACATGTCTCTGCATTATTTCTGAAACATGGGGACACAGCAGTGAGCAGTGATGTGAACTCATGTTTCGGGAACAAACTGAATATAATAGTAATATAAACTGATGGAAACAAACTAATGAGAAATAACACTGATCCACATGGCTCTTTCATATGGGTGGGCAGTCAGTCAGGTCGCACAGCACTTGTTGATAAAACTCCAAAAATATTCTGATTCTTTTCAATCTATTTTACACAAGAAAATAAAGACGACCATAAAATCTGACTTCAACATGCATTCAACAGCAACAAAGGCTTCCATTTAAGCTTCAACAAAGAAGAAAAGAACAAGAGTAGAAGAAGAAGACAGATTAATATCAATAACATCTGTGTAATAAAAACACAACCTTTGACCTATCGACTGTTCTCATCTATTGCTGCAACTGAGTCAGTGCTCAGGTGTCACATTGCTATGGTTACTCGAGAGGTCAGAGGTTGGAGTCCAGATTGCCGTGGTTCAACAAGGTGATGCCTGGGTCCTCGGTGTGGGGGTCAGAGCTGAGAAATGGCTCAGTTTCCAACTCCAGCAGCGCTGGCAGGTCGGCCCCGCTGTCAGATTCAGACGTTTGGACAGGTGTATACTGAACCAGCTGCTTTCCTGCACCAATCAGAGAGCAGCACAGTGTCATGACATGACAACAGACAGGTGGATGGAGCAGCAACTTACTGAAGGCATGACTCACCCGTTCCGCTTTCTTCACTTCCCTTAGGAGCTTCATCAGACAGCAGCTAATGGGAAACGGTAACATCAGTGAGACAGGTCTGACATCATCGGCAACAGTACGCTCTTATTTTTGAAACAGCAGACCAAAGAATGTGAAATTTGCAACTCACGTTGTCCAAACTGTCGAGGTCAAAGTCTGCAGGCGAGCCAGATGAACTGAAAAACTAAGCACACACACCCACACAGTTAGTGACACACAAACACAAGTGATAATAATGTGAGGTGGTAACAAGAAGTCAGACTAACCTCAATAAATGGAACTGTATCGAAGGAGAACGTCTGTGTGTTGAGTATGTTCTGCAGGTTCTCTAAGCCGCTGTCGATAGTATCCACATGATCCAAAAGCTCAGACCTGAGGCACACAGGTGAGACAGGTCTGATGTTAGGTCACATGTCTGCCGTTATTCTACATTTTCCTTTATGTCTGCAGAGATCCAAATAAATACATGATCTGCATCTCAACTGTTCCATACAGGTGAGCTCAGTTTGAACCTGCCAGTTCTCTGCTGTTAATAATCTTATGCAAAGGCTCCACCCCTCACCCTGGCCACACACAGTATTTCCTGTAGTCAGAACATGCCTGAAACATTTCCTGCTGTGAGCCACCTAAGAAACCTTTTTTGACCTGTTGACCGGATTGCTTACTTCTGCACTTAGTTAATTGATTATATTTGGTCAATATAATCAATTAACTAGCTCATGACCTCTGATCAGCTAAAGAAGCTGATCTGGACCTCACACATTTGACAAGAAGAAAATGCAGAATGTCACCAGAAGACTTCAAAACTTTACAAATATTTACAAATCAATAATTGTTTGTAGAGTTAGTGATTCACTTGTCAGGTTGTGCTGAGAGGAACCGCCAAACATCAGGTGGGAGTCCACCTGCAGAGGGAAGGGGGCGTGGTCTGAAGGAAGCACAGGGGTTTTAATGACACACTTGTCCTGCAACAGGACCATCACCTAAAATGTAAGACAAACTGAAACCACACCATGGTTAGTTAAGAGGCTTTCAGATAAGGCAGCGCTGCACTTGCCATTCAAGTGGGCTGAATAGGAGGAGGTTCCTAAACTTGTAGCACAAACTTCAGACTGAGGTCTAACTCGCACACTCCTGACACAAGCTTGCAATCTGCATTCAGCAAAACACTTTCAGTATCCTGTCTGAGAGCCACTTTTCAGAAAGACACTCAGAATGTCAAGGTGATGGATGCAGGGGGTGGGGCAGCTGTTCAGGGAAGCTGCAGGTGTTTGTTGGGGCAGTTTCTGGAGAGATGCTGGGGAAGCTGTCAGCAAAGGGTGACGGCTTCCCCAGCGTAAGGGTGGACTGAGGACAGTTTAGAGAGACGGTTTGCTGGGCAGCTCTTTGCAACCTCGAACACAGTTTCAGCTTTAGTCAGAGCAGGGCCACTGTTGGGGAAATACTTGGGCTAACTCTTGGTAAACACTCATAGTTGTTCATCGCAGGTGGTACTAACTCTATTAGAAGTCTCTATGAATGTTTCACAACTGCATACTGGTGTAGTCACACTTACCTGTCAATACAGGCGATGGCTTGACATTTCTTCTGAGGTGTTGTTGTGCTGGGGGCTGTGTTTGCTGTGGTAACAGAGGTGAGTGATTGGGTGGATGAGGCAGAAGACAGGGGGCCAGTGGAGACGGGGCTCATCACCACAATGGGACTGGCTGCTGAGAGAAAGATTTTTATTTACCAGAAATGCTCTGAACAGGAATCAAACTGCTAACCACAAACTTAATGTCTACCAGTGGGAGCACTGCTCGTGGAGGTGACTGGGGTGGGTGGCTCATTCTCCTCTAGGATGGAGTTAATGAAGGTGGTGGGGGAGAAGGGCGTGTCCACTGGTGCAGCCACTTCCTCCAGAACAGGACACACCTCCACCTCCGGACTGGACGGCTCCTCTTTGATATCGACTGATTGGCTCTCTCTGCAAGGAGGTTATGCACTCTGACTTCTGAAGGATCAATCACTTACTGACTAAGCAGGACTAATCTGATCAGTACTCACCCTTGGTCCATCCAATCACTAGCCAATTCATCTGAACCAGATGTGGCCATGTCTGTGATGT